AGAGGACCAGGGGTAAAATGACCAATCCTGTAATTCTTAATACATCCCAGGAGAGCAAACCCAGGTTTTAGCTCTATCCTGGCTTTCCATGAGACATAATTCATACATTTTCTCTGATTTTTTATTTCATCTTTTACAGAGGAAATGTTTCAAATTTTCTAAACTCCAATTGATTATTTTTAAAAATGTGTGCATTGCTCTTTAATTTTCCTACCTAAGAGCCTTTTCCTTGCTGCAATTTGTGCAGATTTTCTTTTTGAATTACATAAAATCAAATTTATATGATACCTCTTGAGATATTAATGCTGCAAAGTTCAGGTTATATTTTTCTATGACTGCCTAATTATTTAAGCACCATATTTTCAAAATACTAATTTTTACTTGAAGTTTAATAAAATTTAGTACTGCATAAATTACTTAAGCTTATGTGCCTCCACTTATATGTTATTTTGTTCCCAGTGGAGGTCCATGTACCCTTTTATCAATTCCATAATATTTTCATCATCGAAGTTTTATGTAAATCTTGGAACTGATAGCATGGTCTTTGTAAATTCATATTTAGAATTTGATATTGTCTGGCATTTTAAAAAGAGTTGTTCTTTGCCTTTATATACAACTTTCACATAACTTCATGATATATACAAAAATCTTGGCTAGTGTTTTATGCCACTTTAAACTGGCACAATAGAGTACTACCAATGAATAAAAACATTTCTAGAAGATGGAAATTCCAAGGTTAAAGTGATATCACCTATCAAGAACCTTATTATGGTGCTATCCATGACTGAAGGTGAAATGTTAAGAGACAGTGAGGCAATGTGAGAACAGTTTTGTCCTCTTATGTGGTATTCACCCATTATCATAAACCCACTCTCATAATAATTACATTGGTTCATGTATAAGAGCAGAGTCTCCGTGCTCTAATCACCCGTTTAGGCCCTTTGCATTATCATGTCTTAATCCTTCACCATGGCAGCTAAACGCCAACCTGAAAGTGCCAGGAGACGTACAGGTCGCAGCACCTGGGAAGAAAACTTGCTTATACCATGTCAGGCTTGTTTTCATTCAACATCAAACATATCCGCAATATTTATAGAGTTGTACTCAATTATATAATTCTGGTTTCATCACAAATTGCATTGTTTTAAACTCAAATTCAAAACCATCATGACTTCATTATATGGGGACATAATTTATTTTGAGCATTGCCATATAGCTCAAGAGACGGATAGGCGCGTTATTTTAGATTTTTCATGGCTCTAACAATTCACATTGATAGGCACATAGTATGTCAGTTCAGACAGCTTTTGTTCTCAGTGTTTTTTTTTAATACTCCCTAGTACTTTCATGCTATACTGCACTACAGAAGTTAGGAAGGGTGTTTTGCACATGAATAGCATATCTCCAACCTCTACCTATGTAATATGCTTTAGTGTGGCTTTGCCTATTGCCCTTATTAAGTTAGGGATATTCTTTTCTGTTTATATAGTGAGAGGTTTCACCATAAATGGGAACTGAATTAATTGAATGATATCTCTCTTTTAGCTGGTAATCTGTTTTGTATCAGTGTGTATCACTTTCACTGACTTTCAGGCGTTAAACCAGCTTGATGACTTCACTGTTATAATATACAATATTATTTTCAGTATTACAAGACTTTAATTGTTAATATTTAGCTTCCAGGTGTTATTCTTGCTCTTGTGGAGACAGTACTCTAAAATGTAACTCTTTTTATTTCGTGGTTAACCACAACTCATAAACTGAGTTGTGAAGTTTTACTTACTCTTCATTTTGCCTGAGAAACCCTGTAGAGTTAATTTTTATTTTTTTTTAGTTTAAATTCAAGTTATATTTAATGAATAAACAAAAGTAAAACTGATAAAGCATTATAGACTGAGGACTTAAATTACTATTGAATTGATATTAAGTAGGTAGTTTTGAATATTGTAGTTTTTCTTATTTTTAAAACTTATTTATTTATTTATTTATTTATTTATTTATTTATTTATTCATTCATTAACTTTACATCCTAGCCTTAGTCCCATCCTTCCTCACCTCCCAGCCCTACCTTCCCTCCTTTTCCCGCATCCCCCTCCCCTATTTCTCTGTAAAGGGGAGCCTCCCTTCCCATCCATCCAGCTCATCAAGTCTTATCAGAGCTGAGTGTGTCCTTGTCCTCTTCTCCTGTGGCCTGGCAAGGCAATTTGAAAAGCTGGAAAGAGAGTCCATATCAGAGAGAACTCTCGTTCCCCTTATTAGAAGACCCACATGAGACCTGAACTGCCCATAGGCTACATCTTGTAGCCAGCCTAGGTCCAGGCCATGGTTGGTGCTTCAGTCTCATTAGGCCCTCTTGGCGCTGGTCAGTTGGTTCCTGTCACCACCAAGTCTTTTTCTCCTTTCCCCATTTTTCCACAAGGCTCCAAACACCTTCCCCAATGTTTGGATCTGAGTCTCAGCATCTGTTTTGAGGTGCAGCTGGGTGGAGACTCTGCATAGCAGAGTTTCGTTAATAGAGTTAATAGACCCTTATGAATGTTCCAAATGAAACACAAATATCTGAAAATCTAAAACTAACACCTACAAATGAGAGAAAACATGTGACCTTTATTTTTGTAGCTCTGGGGTACCTCACTCTGAATATCTATTTCTAGCTTCATCCATTTACCTGTGAATGTTATTTTCCTTAATGGCTGAATAATATTCCATTGTATAAATATGCCACATTTAAATATGTCACATTTCACTTTTCATTTATTAGTTGATGAATATCCAGGCAGTTTCTATCTTCTGGCTATTATGAAGAGACCAACATTGAACATGGACAATCAAGTGTCTCTGTAGTAGGATATAGTGTTCTTTGGGTATATACCCCAGAGCAGTGTAGCTGGATCAAATGGTATACCTACTTTAGGAACCTCCACATTGATTTCCAGAGCGGCTTCAGCAGGTTGCAGTCCCATCAACAAAGAATAAGTGGTCCCTTTCCCCACACTGATGACAGCATTTGTTGTTGCTTGGGTTTTGTTTTGTTTTGCTTTGCTTTGCTTTGTTTTGTTTTGTTTGTTCCTTTGTTTCTTTTCTATCCTTTGTTTTGTATTCTAATTTGGATAACAGGAAATCAAAGTGATTTAAATTTACATTTTCTGATAACTAAAAACACTTAACATTTTGAAAATTTTTTCTTCTACACTTGCATTTTAACTTTTGAGAACTGTCTATTCATATCTGTATCTCATTTTTGAATTGGACCTCTTTTACTATTTTTGTGTACATGTGTTGGGTCTTTATATATTCTGGATATTAATTCTCAACCAGATATATGGCTAGCAAAGATTCTTTCCCACTCTGCAGCTTCTTTATCATTCAATTGTTTTCTTCAGCATACAGAGAGTTAATCCTTTCCTGCACCTGGTTCTTTTAGGGTACTGCCTGTATTTTCTCCTACAAGTTTCTGTTTCAAGTTCATAGCGTAGCATTTGATACATTTTGGGCTTAAATTTTTGCAGGGTGATATATAGGACTCTAATTTCATTCTTCATCCTTTTTCCTTAGCATCATTTGTTGAAGATTCTGTCTTTTTTTAAAATAATTTATTTAATTTTATTTTATGTCCATTAGTGTGAAGATGTCAGATTCTTTGGAATCAGCATTACAGACAATTGTGAGCTGCCATGTGGGTGCTGGGAATTGAACCCAGGGCCTTTGAAAGAGCATACAGTGCTCTTAACCACTGAGCCATCTCTCCAGCCCCGAAGATTCTGTCTTTTATCCAGTGTGTATTCTTGGCATCTTTGTCAAACATCAAAGACTGCAGTTATATGTATATATGTGTGGGTCTCCTATTTTGTTCCATTGGTTTATGCTTTTTTTTTTTTTTGTGCCAGTATAATGTGTTTTTACTACTGTGGATCTGTAATATAGATTGAAACTTAGTATGGTAATCCCACAGGCATTGCTCTCTTTTCTCAGGTTTGTTTTGACTGCATGTGGTCTTTTGTAGTTCCATATACATTTTAGGATTTTTTTCTTCTGTTTCTCTGAAATATCACATAGGATTACTTTTCTCTCTCTATGATATGCCATGGATTTCTACTCATGCTCAGTGACTGAATTTCTGTTCTTTTTCTGAACTCAGTAATTTTTGATGTAGGGAACTTAGATGGTGTAGGAGAAACCTTAAATAATGGTACATTCTCTAATTAGTATAGAAGAAAAATTGGTTCTTTGTGCTCTGCACCCCCATTTGAATTCATGAAAAAAAGGAAGCCAGATAATGTAAAGTTTCAATATCTGCTGTTTTGAAGGCTTTTATACCCATGCATTAATATATATAAACAATTTACTCACAAATTATACATGTGATTCATATACAGTAAGTATATGTGGCATTCTTTGGTTCTTTCTAAGATTAGTATATTTTAGCTCATGTTTCTTCATATGGCCACTCTTGTTCCCAAATTTCAATGAAAAAATTATTCTCAAATGTTTTTTTTTCCTCTGGTGGGTTTGAAAAGTCATTAACGTGTGATTAATCCAGGTCTTTTCTTTTGTAAGGCTATGTCCTTGTTTTTCAATTTTCAAAAACAATGGTCACAAACCATTTTCCTATTTTAAAGTACGAAAGTGGACTGGGGGAAGGGCTTGGGAGAAGAGTAGGAAAGGACTCTGGGATTGGGAAGGGATGAGAGAGGGGATACAGCTGGGATACAAAGTAAATAAATTGTAATAAAATTTAAAATTAATTTAAAAAACAAACAAAAATTACTAATTGAAAGGTTTCAACAGTGTTCCACTGATTAGAAATAACATACACAATTGTTAATAAATGGCGTTAATTAATCAACTATTTAATTTCAATGTATTTTTTATCACCCAGATTAAAAATGTTTTTCTTACATTTTTTCTCACATATATGCTCCTATGCGTTTAGACTGGGTGTTTTTATTCCCTATATCTTCTAACTTAGTTAAAATGTTTTTCTTCCACTGTTTGTTAAGCAAATCTGCTGGGAGAACTGCTCACTAGATACCTTGGTGAAAAGTTTAGAGGAACCACAGAGTGTGAACTAGAGGGAGAAAGGAACCGGGAAGTCCTCTTCTGATCAAAACCATGTGTGAGGATAGTCTCTTCTATTTTTTCCAAAACTGAGAAGACTTATTCTTTTTGTGTTAATTCTTATTTTATTATATTATTTTTGTGGGGTTTTCATATATTTATTTATTATCTATTTATTTAATTGCTTTCAGCCTGATCCCAGTCCCCTCCCTCCTCTCTTCCGAGCCCCATCCTAATACTCCTTATCTGCATTCCACCCTCTACTAGTTGTCAGAGAAGGTGAGGCTCCCAAGTGTTACAAACCCACCTTGGCACTTCAAGTTGATTTTCGGCAGCACTAAGAAAATTTTTTATGGGAAACTTAAGTGTGTCTCCTTTTAAAATTATGAATTCATTTTGTGTGTCTAGTCTAGCTATCTCTCATATCTTATTTAATGTACCTTGCTTGATTGTTCTTTCCAGATATGATGAAGCCTACTTATTCTTATTTTTCTGGGTATCATGTGTGTCTCATTTTACTGCAAGTGATAACGCTGACATTAGGTAAGAAGAACACTTACCTTTTTGTTATTCCCTGCAATTATAAAAAGGGTGTAAGATAGACTTCTGGTGCCCAGTATCCATACTGAAAGAGATTAGCAACATCACTTCACTGCATTAGTAAGTAAAATAGACAAAGAGGTGAATGTCAGCAACACTTCTAGATTCAAAATGGTGAGATTACAGGGTGTGCTTCTGTCCCCCAAGGCAGAGAGCCAAAAAGAAGCAGAAATCTAGTAGGTCAGGAATCTCTGAGAAGAGAAGACACCTCTGAGACTATAAGTGGTGAGGTAGTAAAACACAAGCTGAAATCACTGAATTACTAGAGCCTCAATGTGTTTGAATCACAAAAACCCGCATAAGCCCCATCACTGGTAGGCTCTGGGTGGTGCATTTTACCAGGTGGTGCATTTCTACCAGGTTTTCATGTGAGAATAGAGTGATGGAGAAAGTAATTGTTTGAAATTTGTTCACCTTAATTAGTAGAGCCTTCAAGATGAACTATTTTCCCAAAGTATTAACTGTTAAGTTTCAAGGCCTGACCTGGAAGCAGGGTAATAATGAACGCAAGCCACCTTTTCTGTCTTATCTTTCTTAGGAAACAAAGACCTTGGAAGCCCTCAGAAAGGTCACAAAGCAAAGACTCAGGTTCACTAAAAGGTTGAATCCAAATCATAAAACTGCAGAGTGCTTGTTCTTTCTTCACCACACTTCTTAGTCCACATCATTAAAACATACCATCATTGTAGATAAATTGTAATATATTTGACTCCCAAGAAAACTTTCCATGACATACTGAACAATCAAAACCAGAGTCCACAGGGATAGAGTAAGTAAAGCCACATAGTTAGTCTGGAATTGTCACACCAACAATTTAACAATTAATATTAGAAATTATCTAATGGCAAAACGGAAGACATGGAAGAACCAATGGATAATATAGTCAGAGACAGAATTTTTGAGAAAGCAATGAAGAGAAATGCTAAAGATAAAAAACCACTATAGCAGAAATAAAGAATGCCTCTTTTTTGGGCTCGTGAGTAGACTGAACAGACAAAGCTCAGGGAAGAACATAGAACCTTGGGTATTAGTCATAGAAATATCTAAAAAGAAGAAAGCCCAAGACTTTTCCAGAGAAAATCTAAGAACTCTGAGACACTTTGAAGGTTTAATATGCAGAAAATGGGAAAACAAGGAGAAGAAAGTCAAAAAGGAAGAGAAACACATTCAATGAAAACATGACTAACACTCCCTATAGATCTATGAATCTCAGAAAACAGCAAACACGGTAAGAGCCAAAATAAACAGAAAAAAAAAGTACCTCTCTATATAGAATCCAAAGTATAATGAATATGGAAAATAAAACTTAAAATACTAGCAGTCCTGGATGGAGAGGGGACCCACCTCTTGAAAGATAAAATTAACCTACAATTTTATACAAATGATACAAGCAAGAAATAGATGAAATAAAATATTTAAAACATTCAGGGGAAAACACACTAATTTAGGATTATATATCATAATATATTAATTATTCTTCAAATGTAAAGGATACATAGACATCATCTTAGACAAACAAAAGTAGAAGGGACTTGGTGATTAGTATCCCTACCTGGAAATATATGTTCAGAGTTATTGAAGTGAAGGAAATGGCAAAGGCAGATAATCAAAACTACATAAACATTGGAGAAGAAAGTAAATAAGCTTAATTTTATTAATTGATAATAAAATTTGGTTTTTCAAAATGAGTATTGCAACTCTGTTGTCAATTATACGAATATACCATATTCTTATTTGTTCATCTGTTGGTGGATCTCAAGCTTGCTTTTAAATCTCACAAGACAGTTGTTATATCAGCACCTTTAAACATTAATGAAAACTATTAGATCATGTTTCACTGTCCACTTGGACCACAGGATAAGAGAGTGGCATGGAGCTGAGGTAGCCTTCAGTTCCTGAATTTCTTTTAAGTCTCTTTTCTGTTTTGAATCTTGTTACTTATATTTCTAACCTGCTTATATGTGTTTTTCCTGGCCTTTCATAGTCACCCTTTAGTTATAGGAGTATATGATATGATATATGATATGATTGTTGCTTTGAAGACTTTACCTAGTAGAACAGTCATACACCTTTTCAGGCAGACTAACTTATTTTTTCCTTTTCATTAGCTATGTTCCCATGCTTTTTTCTATGTGTTGGAATTTTTGTTGTTGAAAAATAAATACTTAAATAATATGATGACTGTAGAAATCGTGATTTCTTCCTTCTCTGGCATTTGCTTGTGAATTATTTTCATTCAACGCTTTTGAAATTTGGTTCCTGTAGTCCTCCTCGGTGGCCTTCAGAATCTGTTCATTTCCCTGTGTATTTGCATTCACTTTCCAGTTCTCCCTTTATACACAGTCGTTTTTGAAAGTCCCAGTTTTGAATGCCCTATTTCCAAATTAAAATAAAATGAATTGAAAGCTGTAGAGAAATCTGGATGCCACCTTAGTAAGGAAAGGGTAAGGTTTTAACGTTAGGAGAAGCTACAAGATAACTAACCACCTCTTTGACTACACTTCTGTAGTCAGAGGTAATAATCGATTATCCGAGCAAATCTCTCCAATAATTGGAAAATAGAATTGATCTTGCTCATTCCGGCTCTCACAAGCTACCCAGACTGCCCTGGAAAAGATGCACAGCTGCTCACCAATAAACTAAGGGTTGGGGTGGGTAGGTGATACTGTTATAAAAGCTGAAAATGACTGAAAACAACAATGACTCAAACCTTCAAATGAAGGTGAAGGTCATTACAATATGGTTTTGAAGTTTTTGCTCACATGACACACTGGTGCTAAAGGGTGTCTAACAGTGAGAGCCAACCACTTAGAAGTGATGAGACTTCAGTTGCTCCACCTTCATCAATGGATCAGAACCTTGATGGATTCTTGATAGTATAGCATTATCCAAGATAGTGTAGCATTATCTGAGGGGGTGAAGAAGGAAGTAGTGTGTAGTTGAAGGAATTAGACAAGTGGAGAACGTTTTGGAAAGATCTTATCCTTGCCCTTCTCACTCTCTGTGCTTTCTGGCAATGAGCAACTGTGTTTCAAGGGTCAACATTCGGTCTCAACAGGGCTAAGAGAAAGTGGACTCAGTCTACCATGATATGAATCTACCAGCAGAAGCAAAATAATATTTTCTCATTTAAATTACTTCTCTTAGGTATTTTGTCCCAGAAAGTGATAAACAGCCTTCCATAGATTCCAGAGTGCAAAATATCATAGCACAGAACTTTTTCCACAATTCTTAAGTAGCAAGACAGATCCTTGGGGCTTCCTACTTCACTAGAACCTGTTTTAAAGATAAGAATGAGCTATTGTCGGCTTTCAAAAATGTTGGGGGCTACAGCTGGGATTCAAAGTGAATAAATTATAATAAAAGTAAATTAATAAAAATAAAACTTTTAAAAATATTGAAAGAGGAAACAGAATATAATCAGAGTTGAATATTTAGATTATTTAGGCCTTATGGGTAAGATTTGATATCTTCTTAGCAGTGTATGGCAGCGAAGTTCTTTGTTTAAGATTTATTTTGCTGAGTAATATTCCATTATTGTAGATGTACCACAATTTCTGTATCCATTCCTCAACTGAGGGATCTGGATTGTTTCCAGCTTCTGGCTATTACAAATAAAGCTGCTATAAACATGGTTGATCAAATGTCCTTGTTGTATATTTAAGTATTTTTTGAATATTTGGAAATCATGAAATTTGGATATATGGAAATCATGAAATTTGTAGGCAACTGGTGGGAACTAGAAAAGATCATCCTAAGTGAGATATTACAAAAGCAGAAAGACACAAAGGGTATATACCCACTCATAAGTGGATATTAGATATATAAAATAGGATAAACATACTAAAATCTAAAGAAACTAATCAAGAAGGAGGACTCTGGCTAAAATGCTCAATCCCCATTCAGAAAGGCAAAGAGGGTGGACATCAGAAGAGGGAGAAAACAGGGAAGAGGACAGGAGCCTACCACTGAGGACTTCTGAAAGGCTCTGCCCTGCAGACTATCAAAGCAGATGCTGAGACTTATGGCCAAACTTTGGGCAGAGTGCAGGGACTCTTATGAAAGAAGTGGGAAATAGTAAGATCTGGAGAGGACAGAAGCCCCACAAGGAGAGCAACAGAACCAAAAAATCTGAGCACAGGGGTCTTTCATGAGACTGATACTTCAACCAAGTAGTATGCATGGAGATAACCAAGAACCCCTGCACAGATGTAGCCCATGGCAGTTCAGTGTCCAAGTGGGTTTCATAGTAATGGGAACAGGGACTGTCTCTGACATGAACTGATTGGCCTGCTCTTTGATCACCTCCTCCTCAGGGGGGAGCATCCTTACCAGGCCATAGAGGAAGACAATGCAACCACTCCTGATGAGACCTGATAGACTAGGATCAGAAGAAAGGAGAGGAGGACCTCCCCTATCAGTGGACTTGGGGAGGGACATGGGTGAAAAAGGGGGGAGGGTAAGGTTGGGAAAGGAAGAGGGAGGGAACTATGGAGCGGTACAAAGTGAATAAACTGTAATTAATAAAAATTTTAAAAGTAATAAAAAAGATTTATTTTGATTTTCAATTTTTCTGCACAGAGAATCTGATGGTGACTACTCCCACTGGACACTTGGTGGCTAAAGTAGGAGGCCAGGCTGAGCTCAGCTGCCAGGTGTCCCCACCACGCAGTGTGGAGGATATGGAGGTGCGCTGGTTCAGGGGTGACAAATCCAAACTTGTTTATCAATACAGAGGTGGCCATGGAAAGAATGGAGAAGCTGCACCTGAATATGGGAATCGTGTAGAGTTTGTGAAAGAGGCCATTGGGAAGGGAAAAGTGGCCCTCAGAATCCATAATATCAGCATTTCGGATGATGGGCCTTACCAGTGCTCATTTAGTGATGATGGCTTCAGCGATGTGGCCTTCATGAAACTCCATGTGGCAGGTAACTTGTCTGTGAAACATAGTATACCAGGGTCCTTGTGCCAATAATCTGAAATATGTGGACATCATCTTGGTGGTTTGTTATGGATTGTTTATATTTTACATTTTTTTCTTTTTTTTTTATAAATTTCATGATGAAATTCTTTTCTTAAATTTTACTTTATATCCCAAGGGTACCCTTTCCCTCCTCTCTTCCCAGTCCCCTGCCCTATTCTCCTCCTTCCTCTTTCTCCTCTCTCTTTTCCCCAGAAAAGGGGAGCCATTTTTAAATATACAAGTCATAAGTAAAAGTCACATATATTCCTCAAAAATACACTATGCAGACAATAGACATCACAGAGCAAACAATTAGTCTAACTTGAAAATCAACCATGGAAGTCAATTCGTGTGTGTTATTAGATGCAATCCTGTCTATCCAACTTCAGCATAATTGCTATGTTTTTATCTCCATGTCATTCCCACCAGCATTTGGATTGAAGATGCAAATCCATGTTCAGAGTTCTGGTCGTGATGGTGTCATTGTGGAGTGTTTTTCAGAAGGGTGGTTCCCACGGCCCCAAATGGAGTGGAGAGACAGCACAGGGAATGTAGTTCCTTATTCTTCAATATCATACTCACAGGATGGAGATGGATTTTTCTATGTGAAGATGACTCTTCTCCTCAAAAACCAATCACAGAAGAGTATCACATGCTGTGTTCTTAACCCTCTAACGGGTGAAGATAAGCAAATAAATCTCCTCATAGCAAGTGAGTGCCCAGCCAAGAGGGTTTAATTGTTATTTTGAAGCACAAGAGCAAACCAATGGATTAGTTAGTGTTAAGGACTTTCTGCATTGTAGTACATCTTTTGACTGTGGCTCTTTAGCATTGATATGCACAGGGTATTAGAAAAAAGCTGAACAGTAGGAATTTATAATTAAGCATATCTTAGAGCTTTAGAGACATTTAATGTTACTTCACTAGACCTAATAATGTTTATGTATAAGATTAAAAAGATGCTAGTTCAGTAACATGAAAGATGATATCTATCGTTGTCAGCTGGTTTCTCATTTTAGAAAGGCATATAACCATATTCCAAAATGAATCATACCATTATGACACGTTGATTACTGCCACATGACATTCAGTGCTAGAACTAGCATTTTTAAATTCCTATAAATTCAATACATAGAAAATGATATGAGAGTGAGATACATAATCAAAAAAAGAGATATGTCAGTAAAAACAGCAGCAAGAAATATGTTTATGTGAAAGGGAAATTGTGTTATTATCTGTTCATTTCTTACTCCCAGAAGACATGATGGATAAATAAATAAAAACAGAAAAAGGTTGTCTTATATTTAACAAAGCTACCCGTAGCTAACACCTATATACAAAAATTAAGTTTCACATATTAACAGGCTGTATGTGAAAAGAGGAAGGTTTATACCTTTAGACCCTAGTACATGTACTGTTTTTCTACAGAAACTAAAGATTAAAAAAAAACTACACTACTTTGTAGGATTAGGAAAATGACTGAAAAAAAAAATAACTGTTGCTTCGACTAAATAGGGCTCTATGGAAATGGTTTCTGTAATATCAGAAAACTTCACAAGAATGAATAGAAATTAGAAGTTGGGGAGGATGGCACTTGAAAGACTGAGGCAGGAGGACAGAGTTTAGTTCAGCATGAGCTACAGAATAAGAAATGCCTCAAATAGAAAGTGAATGAGATACTACAAATACTTTTAAAGCACAAATAAAGGGATATACTGATGTGCTAAAGATGTGGTGGGAGGAAAACATTGAAAGAGAACAAATAATTCTAAGTTCATAAGACTGAATCATGAAAGATAAATTATCAGCCAAAATAGGAGACTTTTTATTTTTTTAATTTCTAAGTTTTTTATTTTTTTTATTTAATTTGAGTTTATTCATTTTGTATCCCAACTGTAGCCCTCTCCTTCATCCCCTCCCAATCCTACCCTCTCTCTTCTCTTCCCATGCCCCTCCTCTCATCTTCTGTTAGGGGAGGTCCTCCTCCCCTTCCATCTGATCCTAGTCTATCATGTCTCATCAGGGCTAGCTGTATTGTTTTCCTCTGTTGCCTGGTAAGGATGCTCCTCCCTCAGGGGGAGGTGATCAAAGAGCAGGTCATTGAGTTCATGTCAGAGACAGTCCCTGTTCCCATTACTATGAAACCCACTTGGACACTGAGCTGCCATGGGCTACATCTGTGTAGGGGTTCTAGGTTATCTCCATGAATGGTCCTTGGTTGGAGAATCAGTCTCAGAAAAGATCCCTGTGCCCAGATTTTTTTTCTCTCCTTGTGGAACTCCTGTCCCCTCCAGGTCTTTCTATCTCCCCCTTCTTTCTTAAGATTCCCTGTACTCTGCCCAAAGTTTGGCTATGAGCCTCCACCTTTGCTTTGATACCCTACAAGGTAGAGTCTTTCAGAAGCCCTCTATGGTAGGTTCCTGTCCTGTTCCGTTTCCTCACTTTTCAGATGTCCATACTGTTTGCTTTCTGAATGAGGATTGATCCTCTTACCCAGGGTCCTCCTTCTTGATTAGCTTCTTTAGGTGTACAGATTTTAGTATGATTGTAGAGGAGACATTTTGGAAATGTTAGAAATAAATGTTAGAAATAAATTGAGTGAGTAGCTTGAGTGAAAACATTGCCCTGTGAACTCACAGCAGCTTGGACTGCATGTGCAAGACAAGCAGGAGCTCAAGCCACACAAAACCCTGTGGAGGGAGAGGCTGAGACACCTACCTGAGGAACTATTGACAATGGACAGTGCTGAGAGGGGGGAGTCAGCACTGTGAAGGTTACTCTTGATAGGCCAGCCATGCTCAGGTGGACAGCCACATATCCAAGAGTACACAGGCAGCAAAAATTCAATTCACAGGGTTTATTTTAAAAATGCGGGGAGGGGCACAAAGTTGAGTTGGGAAGGGAGGGGTATTGATCTGGGAGAAGTTCAGAAGTAAATTCTATCTCCAAGATGAACTTAATGCTCAGACTGTTTTCGTAGTTGCCACAAAATTGGGTCTAGCAGTGTGCGGTCCTGAGCCAGATGCAGGAAGTGAGTGAGGTAGGCTAGAAGGAATGAAAGGGGGAGAGAGAGGTAGAAAAGAGAAAACAAAGGAGAAAAGAAAGGAAGAAAAGAGAAAGAAGGGGAAGAGAAAAAAGTGAGAGGGAAGAAAGAAGAAAGGAAGGGAGGGATGGGGAAGATGGGGTGGGAAGAAGAGAGGGAGGGAGGGAGAGAGGCATAATGATAGAAAGTTCTGCAGAACCTGAAGGGAAAACCTGCTCTCCAGGCAGCAGCTTCCTGGTCTGGTGGGAACCTTTGCCATGTGTATTTTAATGACGTTCTCTCCTTTCTTTCAGGTACCCTGTTTAACAAGAGCTACATAAATCGCTTAATTTCCATTTTCTTTGGAATATCAATTATTTTATGTGTATTTGACCTCTTAATTTTTTATTTCATGAAACCAGGTAACTGATCCAAGTGGGATGGAATCATGTATGGATTGTTTCCTAACTTTATGCCTAAGTCACATGTAGAATTTAGTTAAAACTAAAAGATATTTATCTCTCACCTCTGTACACAGCTAGCTTCTTACCTTACAGATGTTGAAGTTTATACCTCTCAGCTCTGAGATTCCCAAGGCAATTCTTGTTTTAGGGATGAAGGTCATCAATGTTTACTGTGATTTTTCAGATCCACAGATAATTTCTATATGCCTTAAAGAGCACACACTGAAATACTAAATATAGCACTAATTCAAACACTGAAAATTAAAAAATATCTTTCTTCTTTTAAGAAATAATGGTTTCCATCACAGCAGAGTCACCCTTCAAACTGCTGAGTGATTAATGCATATACTTCTTACTATGGGGCAGATTTAATGTGACCACAAATTCCATAATACAGTTGTGTGAGGACAGGGTGTGTGTGTGTGTGTGTGTGTGTGTGTGTGTGTGTGTGTGTGTGTGCTTGGACATATGCTTCCAACTCTCACAGGGAAGAAATGAACTTTGGAGTTCTTACTCTATCATTTTCAATTTTATTCTTTTTTATTTATTGTTTTATTAATTGCAATTTATTCAGGACTTTTGGCCTGAGAACATCTCTCAGTGAACCCAGAGCTAGGCTGGCAGCAAGAAGGCTCAGAGGATCCACATTTCTTTTAGCTGCACTTAGTGTTGGAATAACAGGTGCATAGGAAGACACACCGAGCTTTAGTTTTTTTAATGTGAGCACTGGGATTTCAACTCAGGTCCTCATGCTTGCACAACAAATGCTTACCCACTGAGCCATCTCTTCAGCCCCTCAATTATTTTAAATATTGTAGTTTCTTCAGTCACAGTCTTGATCAAATTAATATGAAAAAAGTTACTTACATAAATCAATAACTCCTTTACAACCAAATTCTTCTGTCTCATCATCTAAACTAAATGTATGTATCATACTGTAAGAATATAGGAATCTAATACCTAAAAAACAATAGTTATTAATAAGAAAAACCTTTGGGGCTGGAGAGATGACTCAGTTGTTAAGAACACTGCCTATTTTTTTAGAGCACCAGGACTTAATTCCCAGCACCCATATGGTGGCTTGCAACTGTCTGTAACTCCATTACAGGAGATCCATTACAATTTTCTAGCCTCTATAGGCATCAGGCATACAAGTGATGCACAGACTGACATGTAGGCAAACACCTACACACAAAAAATCAGTTCTCTTTCTGATCCCAATGACAAATATATATATATATATATATA